TATTCCTGGCTTTTGAATCGTTACTGGACCTACTCCCTGAGGGACTTGATTTGAGTGGCATGAGTTAGTTATTCTATTTTCCATAATAAAGCTGCCTCAGAAATAACTGTTTCACATCTCTTAGTGACAAATCGGAAAGGGGGCAATTTTTCACCCTGAAGAAGTTGAAATGTGACTTTTCTATTGTACAAGTCAAATGGCTGGAAAACTACATAAAATAAGAGAAAGCTGTTCATTAGATTCAAACACTAGCAAACAAGCCCTCTTTTGTGCTCCCTTAGAAAAGTGACAAGTGCAGGCATATCCTCTGTTTGGCTCAAATAAACTCTCAGAAAAGTTCCAAAAAAAAAAAAAAAAAGAACTAAAAGTGACAAGTTCATTACTATCAGTGCCAGCTTTCAACATGGAAATATCTGGAGGTGCCACTGTTTTATCTGAGTGTGGCACTGACAACTTCTGCTCCCCAACAAAGTGGCGCAGGGGACAGTGGGACAGTTGTCATGCAGACCTCAGACAAGGAGGGCAATGTCTGCCATATTGTTGGGCCACAAAGTCACTGCAGGGTGTAGTCCAATGGCCAGGGCCCAATTGACATAGGCTTTCAAATTGAGAGAGCAGGGCTATCCTAAGTCAGGATTGTAGCCTGGCAGAAAATTGCAGCACTGGACTGTTTTGAACTTAAGAAATTAGTGGCCTGGCTTAAGTTATTTAAATGCATAAGTTTCTTTGCTTTCTTAAGGTAAGGACATACAGATTCTGACTCAGTGAAGAGTCACTTTAATTTATATACAACGTTCACTGCTTCCAGGATTAGTCTAAAAGCCAAGATGTAAAAATTAGATAGAAATGTAGTTCATTAGGAATTAGCAAGCTTCCCAATGATCAACTGTGCTTGAAGACACTAAGTCTCTGGAATGTGGCTTTAGGTATGATGACGTGGCATTGTACGTGAAGGGCTCACCGGCATCAGACTGGCCCAATATGTAATATTTGGCATGTTCTTTTCATTTCTGTGTTAGGATATTCTGTGTTAGGATGTTTCATTTTCTCTGAGGCTGTATTTCAGTCATATAGTGCTCGGTTTTATCGAATAGGTGGGTTAATTTGAGTAAAAAATATTGAAAGCTGATTTCCTTCACATGGTTTATCAACTGGATATGAAAACAGCTCCCAAAAAGAGGTTTCCAAAATGTTGAGAGCTTTGGAAAATAAGTAAATTAACGTGGAACCTCCCAAGGAGGCTACTTTGAAGAAATAAATTCACGTGGCTGCATAAATTATGGGTATCTGTTACAAAGGGCAATTCTGATGTAGCTGAGCAAATTTTGCTTCAAAATCCTGGAGGATAAAACCTTTGAAAAGGTGTTTGAGTAATCAGGAAATAATTAAGACAGTCAGAGCCCTGCTTTATGTGAGGGAATACTTGAAAGTGGAATTCATATTAACCAGAAGTTGCCAATGACATGCCTCTTATTAAAAAAAAGGAAGTAAACAGTATATTAATTAAATTTTCTAATACACAAAATAAGGAGGCTTTAAAATGCCAGTAAGGAAAGAGAAATAATATAATGGGATTTGATAAAAACATCAAGCAATTAAAATGAGGAATAATGAAGTTAGGCATTGTTGTCATCATCTATGACAATACCAGATATTCATCAGGCAAACCCCACTTTCTAACACCTAAGCATTCTCTCATGCTTCCACTTATTCCACCCATTCACCTCCCACTCGTTTTCATCCCATTCTATGCTTATCTAACTCTGACCTTCAAAACCCAGCCAAAATGCCACTTTCTTCATGAAAAATGTCTCCTTTTCCCTAGGCCAGGAGTAATCATTTCCCCGCTCCATGCTCCCATGCCTCTTACTGGAAACTATTCCATCATAAATTAGACATCTCTGAATGACTGTCTCATTTCCCGTGCTAAACTGTCACATTCTTAAGTCTATAACTGCTTTATTTGCTATTTTCTTATTGTTAATATGCCTCTGTTAATGAATAAGTGACCGCTTTTGAAAAAGAGATATGAGAAGGAAATGTTATATTTTTCTTAAAGAAATAGAGATACAGAGAAAAGATGTAGTTTTGTTCACCTTCTCAATGTTACCTGAATTGGATAATTGTTGAATATGGTAAATATTGACATTTAAGGAAAATAAGCTTTAAAACTAAACTACAATTTTAAAACAAAGTAACAGCTTTTTCACCTTTCTGGGTGGCTGTTGTATATCTTTTATCATGTTAGTGCCATATGAACTCGTCCCTTTGTGCAGGAAGATTAATTCACTAACACTCATGAATAGCTAGCGAAAGCATCATGCTCATTTATGCCACCTACTAACCTGTGGGACATTATTTAATCTATATGAGCCCTAGTTTTCTCATCTTTAAGAAAGGGATAATCATTTGCTGCCTTACCTGTTTCACAAGTTTGCTGTGAGAGATAAGAAGACAATGTAAGTGATAGTACTTTGTAAATTGTAAAATTCTTTGTTAATGTAGAAATATATGGAGGAGATCAATATAAGGGACATGAAAAAGAGAGAGAATAAGTATGTGACTAAAACAGGTCAGATTCTTTAGGTCAAATTTATATGAAACATTTTATGAAATGTTTGAAGGAAAGATTTTGCTATGCATTAACTTAGGTTTCCGTCATAAAAAACAGTAATGCCATAAGGGCAAATGTTAAGATTACTGAGTAATTTCACTTGGCGTGTTCTATAATATTGCAGTTTTACTCTGAGGGGTCCTTATAGATAAAAGAGTTCCAGGCCTGAAATAATAATCTTCAATCTAATTTACTCACTATTATCATTTAGGAAGGATGATTCCATTTCCTTCTCTACTACTGTTGAGGTCAGTTTAGTGAACATCGAAAATATTTTCCATCATACTTCATGGCATCCTAAAGTTTTAATAAAGTTGCTGGAAAGGAATATAGATTGTGGAATCCAAGGATAAAAAGGGACCTGAGCATTCACTTATTCTAAATACCATCCAGACTTGGAATTCATCTGTAGAATCCCTGCTGTATCTGGTCTTGACCTGGGTGGATCCAAGGCAGAAAAAGGGATGGGAGTCAACAGCTGATCAATCAATTAAGTAGAGATGTGATCTCCTTTTAGTTAGATGTGTGTGAAAGCTTTGGTTTGCCTGGTATACAGAACAGACATACTGTCATGTTGCTGTTCCCTTGGTCACACCTGGCCTCTTGGTCATCACACAGGTCCCATGGTACACAGGCCCATGGTACAGAGTTCCAAATTAGCTGGGCAATGAACAAATATATCTTCAGGTTTAATTCCCTTTCTCTCTTAATGAGAGTTTATTAGCATATCTATGGCCATTTTCTAAGAGCACCAGCTCTAGTAGGATTAAACCTGTGATGGATTTCTCTGTTGCTTAAGAAGTTCCCTTTTCTTTTTTTTTTTTCTTTTTTTTTGTTTGTTTGTTTGTTTTGTTTTTTGTTGTTGTTGTTTTTTTCAGTTGATCAGCAGCCTAGCCAGGATCTCTAGCCAGGATCTCCAGCCAAGTTCTGGTCTGGATCTCCAGAGAGGTTCTGCTGTTTATTGTCTTGTTAGGTTCTCTAGCCAGGTTCTCCAGGTTCTCCAGCCAGGTTCTGTAGCCATGTTCCCTCGCTAGGTTCTCCAGCCAGGTTCAGTCACCAGGTTCTAGTGAGGTTCTCTTGCCATGTTCTATCCAGGTTCTGTAGTCAGGTTCTGTCTCTAGATTCTTCAGCCAGGTTCTCTCGCTAGGTTCTGTCTCTAGGTTCTGTCTCCAGTTTCTGTCCAGGATCTTTTGCCATGTTCTCTCCAGCGAAGTTCTTCTGTCTCTAGGTTCTGTGTAGGTTCTGTCTTCTCAGAAGTTCCCTTTTCTTTCCCAAAGGAGCCACTGAACAGAGCGTCTTGAATAGCAAATGAACCCTGAAGAGTTAAAGTCTCTCTGGCCCATCATACAGACTGCATATGGGCCTTAAGGATTATAATCATTTAGTAGCTGCATGAAATAAATGCCAGATGTCTGTAACTTATTTGGTTAAACCTCATATTGTGCCTATGGTTAATGTCATTATGAGGTGCTGGGTGGGGAGAGATTAACCAAAGAATTTATATGCATATATGCATAACCCATAGACACAGACAATAGTATGGTGAAGGCCTGGAAGGGGGACAGGTAAGGAGTGGAGGGGGTCAATGGAGAAAAAAAGGGACATCTGTACTACTCTCAAAAACAAGGTTAAATTTTTTAAAAAAGAATTAAGGGAAGCAGAAAACAGTTTACAGAAAAAGAATAATAAAATGGGTTTTGATAAGAATAGAATATTATACAGAAATGTATAGAAATATTTGATTAATATAATTAAATTTATGCAATATTATACAAAAATAGAAATTTATAATTTAGAGTGGCAGTAGTTAATACGTATAATGGAATCTTTGCATCCTATATTTTACATAAATCATTTCCATTCAAAGAGCAGCAAAAACTTAACTAATCATAACCAAAATAAACCATGTTTCTTTCCTCCTGTCTGCCACACATGCCAAACTTGAAATGTTTAATTTGGTCTAAAAGTTGAATTTTAACTTTATATTCATGTCCTAATTAAAACATGAGTAGTCGAATGAAACGCCCGTTGCCTAATGACTTATTTCATGTTACTATCACATAATGTCATCATCTTGGAGGGTATCTGGTTTCCCTATATATTAAAGACATCCTGGAGCAAAATTTACAATTCAAGGGTATTAGGTAGAAAGTTATGGCTTCAAGTGGGAGAATGAGTCATTTCTTATGTCATCATGACCTTGGGGTGACCTGATACGGAAACTGATGGCATGGGATTCTGTTTTAATCAGACTTACGGACTAAACTCTGTGCTGGGGTAAAACCAAATATAGAAATCAAATTCTTATTTTTAACTCCTGTGTGTCCATTTATCTGTGTTGATATGATACATGAAGCTTTAATACCATTCTCTGTGTCTCTCTTAGAAGACAGAGGGAAGCTAAAAATCAGCAGTTCCAGCCAGCCATCAAACTCTGAAGGTGGCTCCTTTCTCCTCAAATCTGGCACAACAGCCCTGCCACTGGGCGCAGACACTTCTCCCTCCAAGAGCACAAATGGGGCTCCTGGTACTGTCTCTGAATCAGAAGAAGAAAAAGCCAAAAAATTGCTTTATTGTTCGCTATGCAAAGTGGCTGTGAACTCCCTGTCACAGCTGGAGGCACACAACACAGGTTAGTGGCTATTGTTGGGATTTAAATAATGTGCATAACAAAATCCAACTTCTCCCTTCAGAATACATTGGGTGTTCAAACATTAGGTTTGTTCCGTGTCTTCTCTACTTTTTTGATTCAGATGGATGATTTTGAGAAAAGTCTGATCAGCAAGGCAAAAGGAGATTGGAGATAAAACTTGTTCTGTTCTATATTTTCTAAATGTACCTAATACCTCCCCAAACTCACTACAAGGAAGTGATGAGGATGAAGACATATATCTATGCACAATATTTACTGCAGTACATTTACAAGAGAAAAAAATAGAAACAACCTAAAAGTCCCTCAGTAAGGAAATATTGAATAATTATATTAACTCAATATGACAGATTATATTATTCAGTCATTAAAATGTAATTACAGACTGCCGGTGTGGCTCAGTGGATTGAGGTAGTCCTATGCACCAGACAGGATACATGCCTGGGTTTCAGGCTCAGTAGGGGGCATGCAGGAGGCAGCCAATCAATGTTTCTCATTGATGTTTCTATCTCGCTACCTCTTCCTACAATTCTCTCTAAAATCAATAAAAATGTATTTTTTTTAAAAAAGTTAAAATCAATAAAGACAAAAGTGGTTTTAAAAAATATATAATTATAGGAAAATATGTTTATAAGTTGATATGTGAAATTTTCAGAATAATTAGTATGATCCCAATTTTCAAAAAAATATATTTTATGCTGATTTTTAAAGTTTAAGTATAGTTGGTATACAACAGTATATTAGTTATATTAGTTTAGGGTATACAATATAGAGATTTGACATTTTTATACCTTACGATTGTTGTTTTAATAATTATCTTTTATGTTGCAAATTTCTCAAAACATTATTGGCTATATTTATTTTTTATATACTATAAACTAAACTAAAAAGAAATGCACTAAAATGATAACTTTGATTATGTCTGGGTCTTGAAAACATAATCTTTATTTCTGTTTTACTGTTTTTTTACAATGAAAACGTGTTAAATTTATAACAATTAAAATGGTCATTAAACAATAAAAGCATTGGGAAATTCAACCTGAAGATAACCTCTCAAGAATAAGAAAACAAAGAGCTTCATATAGTTCTTAAATCTCTATTTAATGTGTCTCTTTCTAATTTAGGATCTAAACACAAGACCATGGTTGAAGCTCGTAATGGGGCTGGTCCAATTAAGTCCTATCCTAGACCTGGATCAAGATTAAAGATGCAGAATGGTAGTAAAGGGTCAGGACTACAGAACAAGACATTTCATTGTGAAATCTGTGATGTCCATGTTAATTCAGAAATTCAACTCAAACAGGTAATGTATTCTGAATTAGTAGTCACTGTTGTTTGGGGTCACCACTTGACTGTATATCTCCTTATCTAATGCTTCTCACTGTGCTCACAGTTAAATTAACTAACCTTTATATGATGCATGCAATATGCAAAATACAGTTGCTTTGTGAAAGAAAAAGTCACTACCAAATATTTGCATACCTATTGTTACTATATGTCAGATTCCAGACTAGGTGTTAGAGACAGATGAGTACAGCAGTCATCTGGAGCTCACAGTCAAGCAGGAACTTCTGGAAGACAAGTGGGCCATTCAGCTGATCATCCAAAGACCCAAAACAGACTCCACAGTCACAGGGGTAATACCAGGCAAAGTTTAATAAGATCTATAGAGAAAGAGGAAAGGGCGAGAGGCATTACAATGGAGTGGGGAGCAAGTCTTAACCCACACACTACCTTGGAATTTGTACCTAGAACTGGGTCCAGCTACCGCTGGTATGAAAGCCTCAAATCATGGTGAAACCAGCTACCTCTATCTGGAAATATATTTTACATGAAATAGAACTCACATATAGATTCAGCTAATGCAGCAAACTTTTTTTCAGCACATTTCTAGCCGAAGGCATAAGGATCGAGTTGCAGGGAAACCACTGAAGCCGAAATACAGCCCCTACAACAAACTCCAGCGGAGCCCAAGCCTCTTAGCAGTAAGTTCACCTTGCCTGCTCACCTGTTTTGTGGGGCAGCCTTGCTGGGTTGGGCAGATTCTGTGGGTAAGGAGTGCCTAGGGACTAATTAATTAGTCCTGAAAGGTTTGGAACTTAAACAGCCCTCATAGACAGAAATTCTAGGATGAACTGCTTAGTTCCGGCTATAGGACACCTTGAAGAAAGCTTCCTTAGAGAAGAGAAGCTGAACCTCTTCAAGAGCTAATACCTCACCCTTTTAGGAGGACCTTTTGAAAAGATGATCTTCTTTAGCATATAAAGAAAAGAAAAGGCTCAGGAACAAGGACAAGTGATGACTGTTGAACCTGGGAAAAGGGATTGCTTTCAGAAAACTAAAATTCACCCATTTAGCATCCTAGCATCCTCCTCCCTTCTCTGTCTTCCTCTCTCTCTCTCCCTCTCTCTCTCTCTCTCTCTCTCTCTCTCTCTCTCTCTCTCTCTCTCTCTCTCTCTCTCTCTCTCCTCCCCCTCTATCTCCTTCCCTCTTTCCCTCTGCCTCCCCCTCAACCCCTCTGCCCCAGGTAAGTAAAGTAGGTGTGTGTGCTGCCCTCTTTCTGTGTCTAGTAGGCATGTTGGTAATGGGCCTGTTTCACCTGCTCTCAGTATGTGCTGTTGTCAGTTTCTTTGCAAAACTACCCAAGGAGCCCAGCTGGTTTGGCTCAGTGTATGGAGCATTGGCCTGCGGACAGTCAGGGCACGTGCCTGGGTTGTGGGCTCAATCCCCAGTAGGGGGCGTGCAGGAGGCAGCCGATCGATGATTCTCTCTCATCACTGATGTTTCTATCTCTCTCTCCCTCTCCCTTCCTCTCTGAAATCAATAAAAATATATTTTAAAAAAATAAACTACCCAAGGACTTCAGCGATAGGTGCCATGTAAATACCCAGACGACTGGTTTTCATAATTTCCCTGGGACCCAGGCTGACACTCCATCTAAGGGTGAAGCTGGGAGTGGCCAGCTGGAGGCCTTGCTCAGGTGACCTTCCAACCGCTCTATAGCCTCCCTCTGATGCTGAGCAGTGTAACCTGCACTAAGCAAATCCAGCCTCAGAACTCTTCCTGATGGCAAAAGAGAGAAATTAAGGATCAATGTCTTACTTCACAGGAAGATTCCACCCTGGGATTTCTTTCCAGAGAAAGCTGCTCGCCCACTTACAGTGATTCCCAATGAAGGAAATTTGAGTTAGCTACAGTTTTTCAAGGAATGCTTTTTAACTGGCCAGAGAGAGGAGTGTAAACTGACTTTGTTTTCATGACGCTTCATGGGTCCCTAATGTCCGGAACATCAGTCACCTACCCCAGTGCAGCTTTTGGAAGAGAAGTGAGGTAAAGGGTCATGAACACTCTTTAAAAAATTTTTTAAATAATAAAATACCTCTTCAAGGCTGCATTGTGGATTCTGACAAGTCAGAATTTTGAATTGAGTTCCATTGTCTAAGCAGGAACCCTTGGGGATGATTGCTTTTCTTTCTGAGCAGCTGTACGAAACCACTTGAGGATCTGTCTGTTCAGAGGGGCTTTCCTATGCTGTAGTGTCTGAGGGCAAAGACCACCAAAAAGAGTTGAAATGGAAACAAATCAAAGTAAAGGTATCCATGGAACCTTTGAAACCAGTTTTGTGAAAATGGTCATTTCTTGACTTATGAGAATAAAGATTTTTTTAAATATATATATTTTTATTGATTTCAGAGAGGAAGGGAAAGAGAGAGAGATAAAAAAACATCAATGATGAGTGAGAATCATTGATCAGCTGCTTCCTTCACGCCCCCCCACTGGGGTTCGAGCCCACAATCTGGACATGTGCCCTGACAAGGTATCGCATGGTGACCTCCTGGTTCATAGGTCCACACTCATCCACTCAGCCACGTGGGCTGGGCAAGAGTAAAGGTTTTTTAAATTTGACTTCTTAATGTTCATGCTTAACTTATAAAAATTTATCTGTGTTGCTTATTCAAAACAATCCCCCCACCCCCTTCCTGGTTCTCTCCTTCCTTTAGGCAAAACTTGCATTCCAGAAAGATATGATGAAGCCTTTGGCCCCAGCCTTCCTGTCCTCGCCCCTGGCAGCGGCAGCTGCGGTGTCCTCCGCACTGTCACTGCCACCCCGGCCTTCCGCCTCGCTCTTCCAGGCACCAGCCATACCTCCCGCCCTCCTGAGGCCGGGCCATGGGCCCATCCGTGCCACACCTGCCTCCATCCTCTTTGCTCCCTACTAAGTCTGCAAGCCCCGAGTCGGTTGAGGCCAGTAAGTAGGAACGTTGAGAAGAAAAGCCAAAAGGATTCAGCAAGTCAAGCATTTTGTGTTGCAGTGCCCTCACCCAGCCACAAGATGTGAGCCCGACTCCAAAGAACAACCCATCACTAGATTCAAGCGTGCTTTTAGGGCCCGCTCCTGTCATTTGGGAATCCCAGCAGCACAAGCTTTATCTCCCTATCCCCTGCCCCATTCAATCTGTGTATCTGAGATATTTGGTTTCTTGCGACTGTATGGGTCAGAAAAAAACATAGACATATATCATTCTCTGACTATTTTTCCATGAGTGTGATCTGGCTTAGAAACAATATGGAATATTTTCCTGACAGACTTGAAAAGTAGGGTCTTCCTCATATGTCTGTAAATAACTCTGGAATCAAATTGGGCACATTCTAGTGTGGAACACAAACAGATGAACACAAGTGCTTACTTGTGGACCCCATCCTACCAATGGATCACAACGTTTTCTTTCTGGTGTACTATCGTTGACAGGGATTGTGTACTGTTTTAGACCCAAGTACTGTTGTACCCGGTGTAGTACTAGATCTGTATCTCTTGTCTGAATTAAACACTTTTTTAGTTGCTGTGTAAATGTTAGGAAGCAAAATAGCTTTGAATTTTCTCGTTAAGAGAACAAAAGATAAAGTAATGTATTGTTTTTTCATTTTCCATTTTATTGGGTGATATTTAAATGAAATAGAAAGCCATATAACATAGCTATAATTACTACCTGTTTGCTATTTTTGTTTAACTTATTTTGTAGCTTCCTCACCAGTTTGAGTTGCTAAGCAAATGTATACAAACAGAAAAGAGCTTCCTGAATTGCACATTTTTGCACCTCCTGTGCATTCTGCAAGAAGACAATGAATCCATGTGTTTCTACGTAATTATCTTCTTCGTTTTTAACCTGTTTTCATTTGTAATGATGCTACATAATCTTGTGGCTCCCTAATGCAATAATGTACAGAAGATAAAAAATTTATAACTGAACAGTTTGTCTTTCTGTTCACTGAATATGTTGCAGGTCATGCTGCCATGCTCCCTTTCTAAGCTGGTATCAACAAAACTGGAATGTTTGTGATATCAGGGGTAAGAAGTATCATAACACAACAAACCAGAGTGAACTCTTTTTGAGCATCTGTATCTGCAATCTGTAAATGGTAAAATGTCTGTGTATTTTTTTAAATGTACCTTTTCAATAAAAGTACAAAATATAAAAATATGTTTGTATTTTCAAAGTGATTTTCTCCTGAGATACCTTCAATTTGAAATCATCTGATGAAAGATTTTCAGTAGATGCAAAGATTGCTTTTTACATATTTAGCATTTCCAGCATATTTATTTGTCATGTTTATTCATTACTGTTCACAGCATCTGTATGAGGCGAGACTTTGCTGCTGTTTTCCCTCTGAATCTCAGAGAAATTGGGCCAAAGTTGTGAGTGCGACCCAAAATAATGGTAGCAGCCTGCCAAAAAATTGGGACTGAATTTTTTAAACTTACTGTGTGTCTTCTAAACCTCTAGACCATCTTTTACTCACATCCATGGCAATTACACTCTCTTTTTAGAGGATTTTATTTCACTCCTCCCCCTTTACCTTCTCTAATCAGCCCACCCCTCTTTACTTCCACCTCGTTTTGTTCGCAAGTGTAAAGGTTAATACATCCCTTTTGTTATGATTATCGCTGCTCAAAGAACTACACCAAAATTTAAAGGCTTAAAATAACAATCATTTTGTTATGTTACAGTTTCAGGAGTCAGGAATTCCCACAGAGCTAGGCAGGGCTGTTCTTCCTTTCCTTGGGGAACTAGAGGTCCCTTGGTCACATTCAGCTGGTGGGTGGGCTGGTCTACAGGCTCAACATGGCTTCACTTCTATGTCTGCCTGGATGAAGATGGCTGGAAGGCTGACCTCTACTGGAGTAGTTTTCAAGAGCCATGTGGTCTCAGATAGTTACCTAGTAACTCTCGAAGATTTCAAGGATCCTAAGTGGAAGTCAAAAGGCTTGTTGTAAAACTGTCTCAAAACTTACGGTGCATTCTATTGATCAAGCAAGTTGCTGAGGCCAATAAGTGCAAGGAAAAGGAAATTATTCACTTTTCAACGTGAAGAAGAGCAAAGAATTTGTAGTCATCTTTACCACTCCATTGTAAAATTTTGAGGCATGTGCTAACAAAGTTATTATTAATTCCCTTTTCCCCTACCATAAGCCCAAACTGTGTAAGTTTTTTAAAATGAGAAGAATTGAAGTGGGAGTAGGACCTAAATTCTCATTTCTGAAAATTAAGGCGAATGGATGGCAGTGCAGCTGTGATACATGGCAACAGGCTTCCTCTACCAAAGAGTTTATCCAACTATTTGAAAAGTGTTTCCCTTAATATTCTAGACTTACAATCAGGTTACTTTTAGAGTCTATTAGGATTTCAGTTTGGTATTCAGAATTTGGTTGATTTTTTTTTTTAATATGACTAATTTGAACTCTAACCAATACCAATTACACTAAACTTTGATTGGACCTTCAGACATGGCTTATAGACATGAAAAAGTTGTGTTTGTTTAACACTTTGGAGAATTTTTGTTTGTTTGTTTTTTGTTGTTTTTATGGACTCCAATGGCAATTATATTTCATTTTTCTTGTATCATCATCTATTCCATTAAAGATTACTGCAATACTAAAAAATTTTAATGTCAATATTTAAATAGACTCAGGAATGTACTGATTCGATTCATAGAGTTTAAGATTTTTTTTAAAATCACCTAAAGGAGGAAGTAAAAAATAATAGCAATTCATTTAAATGAATACTTCCAAAAATAAGTCAGGAGTAGCTTCAAACAATCATTTGTAAACATTATTAAACAGACATATCATCTACACTGATTCTGAGGCAGCAGAGTGGGTCAATCCTAAGGGGTTATACATATTTGAACTAATACCCTTTCCTATGTCAGTTTGGTTTTTTTTATTTATTGATCTTTTTTAGAGAGAAAAAGGGGAGGCATGGAGAGAGAGAAACATCAATGTGAGAGAGAAACATTAATTGCTTGCCTCCTGTACACTCCCCAACCAGGGATGAAACACAATCTAGCTATGTGCCCTGACCAGAAATCAAACCTGCAACCTTCTGAACCACCACTCTACCCCCTCTACTTATTGGGAAAGTTTTCAAATGTGCTGCTCACTCTGACATAGCCCAGCTCTGGTCTCTGAAGAATCTGAAAATTGCTCTACTGTGGGATAGCCAGAAAAATTAAAAACAGCCAGTTAAACTTAAATTTCAGATATACAATGGATAATTTTTAGTATAACATTCTAATAACATTTAGTATGATATTGCATATAGCATAAGTATGTTCCATAAATAAGAATACAATATTTGGGACATACTTATATTAAAAGAATATTTGTTGCCCTGGCAAGTGTGTCTCAGTTGGTTGAGCGTCACCCCATATACTGAAAGGCCACTGGTTCAGTCAGGGCACATGCCCAGCCTGCTGGTTCAGTCCCCAGTCAGGATGTGTTCACAATCAATCAATGTTTCTCTCTCACATTAATGTTTCTCTGTCTTTCCCTCTACCTTCCTCTCTCTCTAAAAACATAATCAATAAAAACATATTTTTGAAAAAAAGAATATTTGTTGTCTATCTGAAATTCAAATTTAAATGGATAGACTGCATATTTTTCTAAGTCTGGCAACCCTGTCCATGGAGCATTTCTCTTCATCTCAAGTACCATTATTCTTCAGGAGAGAAGCAACCTTTTGGGTATTAAAAACTAATTAATGAGATTTTAAAGGCACATTGTGAAATGCACTCATAAATAGGAAAAGGAAGGGATCTGCAATAAATGAGTCAATGATATATTAACAGGGGGAAATGCAGCTACAAAGGCAAATTACTTAAAGCTGTACAGCTACCTGTCTAACAATATTAAACTACTAGAGGCCCAGTGCATGGATTCGTGCACAAGTGGGTCCGACTGTGGGTGGTTGGCAGGCCAGCCCTGCCCCTGATCTGGGGGGCGGGATTGGGGGCGGGGATGACTGGAGGGGAGGGGCTGCAGGAGCTTGGCCAGCTGGCCCCACCCCCTGGTCAAACTCCTGGTTGAGGGGACAATTTGTATATTAGCCTTTTATTATATAGGAGGATTCTAAGAGCAAAACGCCAAAATTTTCATTCATATTATGTACCAAACACATCAGCCCCTGATTTGTTCCTTCTCTGCTCTAAGGTAATTCTTAATTTCTGGAGCAGCAATTGTTATGGTGGTGCAGAATTTTTCTCTAAGAAACTGCTTTAAGAAAAACTACAGTTAATATAGTTGAGAAAGAGAATCAAGGGATTCCCATTTGGGGGGGAGGGCAGGGGCAGAACAAAGGAGAAAGAGCTGACAGGGCATCAGGTGGAAATCTTGTGCTAAGTAAGACTGTCTTTAGGAGTCTAAGGAGACTCAGTGAGGAGATTGAGTTTGGTGATGTTTTGAGAAATAAGAACCCACACCCAGGGGTGCCATGGGAGAGAGGATTATTGTGGGAGGGAGAGATGGCCAGAAACTATTTGTTAGTTAAAGATTAAGTTAGCATCCAGGCATACACCCTTGATAAGCACAAGCATCTTCAGATAACAGGTGGCAGAATTTCATTTCACCTCTGTAGGTCTGCTGTGTGGATTCTGGCCTCTCTTACAGTGTTACTTCCATCAGATACTTGTTTTGTTAATATGATGTCCCTCAATATCAAAGGTGACATGACCCCTTTGGGAAAATGCCAGTGTCTGGTACCCAGGTGGGCTGAGGAGAAGCTGTGTAGACCAAGAACAAATTCCATAGGGGATGCTCATCTTTGCCTCCTACCTTCCTCCAAGTAATTAGCTCCATGGGGAAATTCAGGGACATGGTACAAGTTCTCGGTAGCTATGCAGTGTGACTGTAGGGAATTGCTCAGGTTTCTTTGGCTACAATTTCTAAAGCCAGAGTGACAATAAAATGTATTATTCTACTCCACGCTAGGTGCTCAAACTGCATCAAACTTCTGGCTGTCAGATGGAATGCATTCTGTAGGTAGAATGAAAGTATCTTCATGTCAATTATTCCTATAAAAAGTCACTTATGCACAGATGATTAGACAAGCTTGTTACTAAGCACCTGCATTTCATTTTTATTACAGTGAACAAATAAAATTAGGATAGAGAAGAAATAAATGAGAATAATACATAATTTGCTCTCAAAAGATCAGAATTCAAATCCTGGCCATGTTATATACTTACTAGTTTTGTGATTTTATGTCAGAAAATGGATGTTATGTCATATTCCCAGAGTCTCAGTTCTTCACATATACAGTATAAAATAGATATAATAGTATCCAAGACACAAGGTGGTTCTGAGAGCAAATAAAATTGAACATGTAAAAAAGCTTTTGTAAATTATAGCTTGCTATACAGATTTTCACAAGTGGAAAATAAACTCAATTTTCTCATTTAAATTTCTAAATTTTAAGTAAGATTCCCTCAAATTAGTCAGTTTTGAATTTTTAACCTAGAGTCAGAGAAAAATGCATCTGTGTGTAAGGTAAAGAAGAAATAGCAAATTCATTAGTTGTAATGTTCCTATTTTCAAAGATATGCTTCAAATAGAAGTAATACTAAAATAATCGAGCCAAAGTAAATGCAAAGTATTTGCATATTATAATTATGTTTGAATTTTATGTCTTATAGTCCATATAACAAAAACAGAATTTCAAATTGAAAATATCAAAACTTTTTATGTTGTAAAAATATTACAAATACTGTTATAAAAAAATAAAACTTCTTTCTGATATAAAACTTAATTATAAAGGTACCAGACAACCTAAGGAAAATATTTATAAGTCATGTGACATAGGTAGTTTTATATTCTTATTTTACCATGAACTCTTAAAATAAGGTGGGGGAACTCTTTAAGAAAAGAAAGACAATCCAATATTTTAAAAAGGCAATCCAGAAAAGACAAAATACAAAAAGACAAAGTATGTATACATTTTTCTGGAACACCCTGTATATACAAATGCTTAATAAATGTGAAAAAAAAGTCTTTCATCACTAAATAATACAAATAAAATAAACATTTTGATGTAGCATATTAACAAAAATATTATAAAATTTATGAACTTTGTATTAGTGAGAGTGGAGAAATATACACATTCATGCACTGTTGATAGTAATGAAAACTACTTTGAT